GGAGCAGCAACTTCCTGCTGTAGTGTACTCGGCTTCGGCTGTAGATAAGGAGATGCAGTTTTGTTTTTTGCAGAACCATGAGACCAGGTTTGACCCTATATAGAAACAACCACTGGAAGTACTTTTCTTATCTTCAAGATTTCCAGCCCAATCTGCATCGCAGTGATCTGCAAGATGTAGGTTCGTATCAATAGAGTAGAACATCCCATAGTCAGATGTACCTCCAACATATTTGATGATGTGCATGACTGCCTTCAAATGAGATTCTTTGGAAGCAGCCTGGTACCTTGCACAAAGTCCAACGCTGAAACAAATGTCAGGTCCGCCGGCAGTAAGATACAAAAGGCTACCAATCATACTACGGTAAAGTGTTTGATCTACAGATGTACCTTCATCGTCCTTAGACACTTTTATGTGAGTGCCCATAGGAGTCAGAGGAGATTTTGCATTTTCAAGACTAAACTTTTTAACAAGGTTTTTAGCATATTTACTTGGATGCAAAAAGATACCATCTTTAACATGCTTTACCTGAAGTCCAAGGAAGTATGGAAGTTCACCTACCAAACTCATCTCAAATTCAGATGACATCAATTTAACAGAGTGATTGACTAGTTTCTTGGATGTTGATCCAAAAATGATGTCATCAACGTACATTTGAACTGTTAACAGATTTTCATCTGTTCGGAGAGAAAAGAAGACTGGTCTACTCCCCCTCTCTTGAAACCTTTCTCCAGAAGGTACATGGTAAAATGCTCATACCATGCACGAGCGCTTGCTTTAGTCCGTACAACGCTTTCTTGAGCCTGTAAACATGATTTGGATTTTTGGAATCCTTGAACTCTTCAGGTTGCTTTACGTACGCCTCTTCAAGCAAGGTGTCATTTAGAAAGACTGACTTTACGTCCATCTGATAGACAATGAACTTCATTAGACACGCAATAGACAAAAATATACGTACCGATTCCAATCTCGCAACGTGGGCGAAGGTTTCATCAAAATCTATCCCTTGAGTATGAGTATAGCCTTGTGCAACCAATCTCGCCTTGTTGCGGATCACAATCCCAAACTCATGAAAAATACCCAATGAGTCACAAAAGTTAGCAAACTCAATATTTTCAAATTCTTGTCCGTGGTTACTTCGAATGCTGATTATGGAAAAGCCCTTTTCATTTTGAAGCTTCAGACACAGTGGCTTAAAGGTAGAGAACATGTCAGATTTTTCTCGCAAGAAATCTACACATGTATACCGAGAGAAATCATCTACGCACACAAAAATATACTTTTTACCTTGGTAACTCTCAACCTGAATGGGACCCATCAGATTCATGTGAAGAAGTTCCAGAATTTGTTTAGAAGCAATGTGGTTCGATGCCTTATGAGATGCACGAGTTTGCTTACCCAGTTAACATGGTTCGCAGATTGGTTGTTTCTTCAAGGAAATTCTTGGGACACCCCGGACCACACCTGAATTTGACAACTTGACCAAATGAGAGTATCCAATATGGCCCAAGCGTTGATGCCAGATTTTAGATTCACTAACATTTGCATGAAGGCATTTTTCATTAAAGCCAATAAGATAGCAATTGTCAGTTGAACGAGATCCAGTAAGCACACATGTACCTTGATCACAAAGTTGACTCACACTTAAGAGATTTGCTTTTAATTCATTCACAAGTAACACATCAGATAATCTAGGTAAACCACCCAAATTCAACAACCTGTTCCAATAACCTTATTACTCACACTATCCCCAAAAGTGACTTCACCATTCGAACCAATTTGAATATTCAACAAGTATGCTGGTTCTCCAGTTATATGCCTAGAACTCCCACTATCAAGATACTATATACCTTTAAGTGAAGTTCTAAGAGACAGAACTGACGTAAAACAATTAAAGGATTTCTTTGCAACCCACACTTGACGGTTTTTAGAGAAAATTTTTGGAGAGTTCACTATACGAACATTCACTGTAATACCTGAACGATTCCAGCTCACAACTCTACCCGAACAAAGGTCATGCTGCATTTTATAACATTTGGGTCTTATGTGACCAGTTACACCACAGTAATGACAAATGGGAACAAAATTACGATGAAATTTGCTAACAGGTTCCTGAACTGGTATATGAACATTCACAGAAGATTTAAGAGAGGAAGGTTTACTTACAGTGCTTTTTACAAACCTGCCAAACAAGTTCCGAGATGGTTTTTCGTGAAGACATGTACCTCCAACTCCAGACTTGTCTGTGAAACCAAGACCTGGATGTTTAGTTTTAGAAGCTTCGGATGAGGATTCAGAATTATCCTCCTTGCCAGTGTACCCAAGTCCGGTAAGATCACCATGTTACCTCCCCATGGAGAGAAGTTCATTAAGATTCAGCTTTCCCTTTGTTCAGTTTCTGAATCGCCTCGGCAGTGCGATTCATCTCAGTTGAGTATGCCCTCAGCTTGCTTTCCATGCATGTATGTTCGTTCATGAGTTGATCAACATCAGTTTTCAGCTTCAAGATCTCCTTGTTCCGCTCGGCAAGAAGTTTCTGAGTAGAGAATAGTTCAGTCCTCAAGCATTCAATGGTCTGAGTCTTTTCCAATCCATCTTGTTTAGCAAGTTTGACACTTCTTTCAAGAATGGAAGTTCGAGCCTTTTCAGTATCTAATTCACAATTTTTCACAGTGACAGAAGAGGAGGCCTGTTCGCTCAGTATTTTATTTGCTCTTGTCAGTCTATATACTTCACTCTGGAGCTTCTTCATGGCTTCAGATGCCTGTGCACATTTCTCCATGGCTAGCAAGTGTACAGGATCAACACACAAGTTTTGATCTGCTTCATCTTCAGATATTTCAGCCTCTCTCATGCTTTCTTCAAACTCGGTTGGAACATGCTATGTGGTGAGACATATGAACTTCTTAACAGAGGAATGGATTGTCATATTACTAGTGTGCGATGCAGGTTCGTCTGTGCCCTCGTCATCTGAATCTTCCCATGTTACCTTCAGAGACTTGTTCTTCTTCTTAAGATTAGCACACTCATACTGAAAGTGCCCAAAACCACGACACTCCCTACATTGGTCCTTTTCAACTCGTTGTGAGTCAAGTTTTGAAGAAGGCGTACTATTCTTCTTGTCTTGAAACACATTCTTGTTGGAATTGTTACCTTTCTTCCCAGCAAACTTGTTCTTGCACAACCTTTGGCTCATATTTCCATAGTTTCTCGCAATTAGTGCAAGAGCCTCTTTCAGCTTACTATCGTCTATAGTCGGACCTTCATCGTCGTCAATGTCTTCTTTTTCTTCAACTACAGCAGCTTTGAGAGCCAGTCCCTTGCTTTTGACTTTGTCATAATTATTATTGATCTCAAACGTCCTTAGTTCGCCGAGGAGTTCATCAACATCCAGAGGTGCAATTCTTTGAAAACTCTCAAGGGCTGTAATTTTTTCTCTGAACCTGGGAGCAACTGTTCTCATGATCATTTGAACTTGACGATTCTCAGAGACTTCTTCTCTAAGCATGGCACTTTGATTCACCAGATCACATAATCTGGCATAGTATATGTTAATTGTTTCTTCATCCCGCATCCTACTTTCATCAAATTCAAGAGTCACCCGTTGAAGTCTGGACGCTTTGACAACCATTGACCCTTCAAATTGACGTTGTAGGATCCGCCAAGCATCTTTTGCAGTCTTGCATTGAACTATCATCTTGTGTCTTGTCTGATCCACTGCCATCATAATCGCATACAAGGCACGATAATTGGCTTCTTCATGAAGCTTCTCAGCATCAGTCCAGTTATCTTTTGGTTTAAGAACCATAGCCGTCGTAGCTCATTTTCCTTGATCTGATGCTTCTGCCATAACAGGATGCTCCTAACCTTTTTCAACACTTTCCCACGCACCTCTTCCAAGCGATCTTAGGAAGATCGTCATCATAAATTTCCAATACGAGTAGTTGGAACCATCCAATTGTGGAGGCCTAGACATCGATCCACTTTCTTGATTCATGATTGCCCAGTAACACAAGTCCTTAGATCTTTCGTAATCCAAACGAAAACCCACTCTGGTGCGAAATGAAGTTTGATACTTGTAAGCCAAGTATCCAGAGTTGCAAGTAATTTAATCAACCTGAATTAAATGAAGATTCAAACAATTGTGGAAGCAGTTTCACTAAAAATTTAACCTTCAGGAGAGCGTCCCAATCTCCCTTCGGATCTCTTTTATTAATGCAAACGTCTCAAACACTCTTCAAGGGTTTACAGTATAGACTCCCTCTACACTCTACTTGAACAGTGATTTGCACTACTACTTATCCGACCACAAATCCCTTGTGGCTTTTCTAGTTCGAATCCCTCAAACTATAACAGAATGAACCTCCGAACACTCTGTAGTTTTTCCCTCGACAATAATAATCTCACATACTAAAAACAAAACAAGAATCCTCACAAAAGACAAAATTTCGATCAGCTAAATTCAAGTGAAAAAAAAAAGTACTTCTCAACATAGTCTTGCCGTCCTTTTATACACATCCTCAAAATGAGAAGTTCTTCCTTTATCTTCCCAGCCAAGTCATATCATACTTTGGAAAATCCAAGTTACTTAATTCGGATCTCGCATATTTTGGTAAGTAGGTGCACGTGGAAGGTAATCATAAATGGAGTGATTCACGATCTTTTCTTTTGTCCTGCCATAATAAAATGTGCACAAGAATAAACCAATAAACGAAATGATCAAAACTAATCTAAGTAAACTTAGATTGACTTCTCTTAATTATCTCATTGATGTCTGATCCTGACAAAAGAAGGTTCATCGATTTGCTGTCAAACCTCAGAACTTACACTAATAGGGATTACTTGGAATGGAATTAAAAGCCCAAAATTCAAATTTAGAGACTGGTGGCATGCCATTTGTATTGATAAGAGAAACCCTTACATTGCTGAGAGAACTTGTCTTTCAACGTACCTCCTATGGTGGCTTTGGACGACAAGAATCTTATGAGTTTTTCAAAAAGAATGGGTCAGTCCTGAAGTGATTGCGAGGAAAGCCAAAGAAGAATGGTTGGAATTTGCTGAGGTTTCTGATGTGGGGGAGGAGACCTTAAGAAGTTGCAATAGACTAATTCACTCATCCTCAGAGGAAGCAGAGGCTAAAGTAGGGCAGGTTTTAACTGTCGGTGCTCATCTTGATAAGGAAGGGTTAATATGGCTAGGAGGATCTTTATGGGTTCAAGGAGAAGTCAAGCTCACTTGGTCCACTTCAAAGAAGTTCATAGGGAGGCACGCGGAGGCCCTTCTAACTATGGCTGAGCATGGGACTCGGAGAATTCCGAACCGTTTCGAAAACTAAACCGAAATCACTCTGAACCGAAAAATATCCGTTGACCGTTTGACTTTCTCCGAACCAAACCAAACCAAAAAAATAATTGGTACGGTTCTGGAGATTTCATAAGTACCCGTACCGAGAACCGAACCGTACCATCCCGTACCATACCGAACCGAAGAACCGAATTATAAAAATAGATGCGTGTTATTAATATATTTTATGTCCATTTTGATCATATATAATTTGAAAATTTTTAAAATACAAATAAAATATAGTAATAACAATTAAGATTCACTTACATTTCATGATCTACATTTGAATTTCTCATGTTTAAAAAAAAAAAAAGTTGGAATGAAAGGTTAAAGATTTGGAAAAAAAAATATTTAAACTTTACTTAAAGTTGTTGATACTTAGCCTTAATTTATCTTATAACTAACATGGTATGGAAGATTAAATAAATATTACTTTAATATAAAACTATATTATATTTTGTTTGAATTTTAAATTTTCAATGTTAGTTGAATTTAGTCTTAACAAAATTTAAGGTTACTTCTAAAGTTGATTTAAAAATAAAATCTTTAGTATGATGAAGTATTGATGAATGTTGAAATTTAATTAAAAAAAAACATGTAAAAATAAAATATAACTAGGTGGTCATTCAAAAAAATTTTAAAAATGATAAGAAATCTCTGAATATCCGAACCGAACCAAACCGAACCGAACCGTTCCAATAGTCCCGAAAACCGAACCGAACCGAAGAATAAAAATCTCCGAACCGAACCGAACCGATTTTTTGGTACGGTTCTGGAGATCGAATTTTAGTGATCTCCGAACTTCGGTACGGTTCTGGAGATTTATCAATCTCTGAACCGTACTGACTCATGCTCACCCCTACTTCTAATAGCAGTTAGATGGGTACTTTTTGAGGCAAAGAAGGCAAAGTTGGTTTCTATCTGTTGTTCCTTGAGCAATGAGGGGCTGGTGAAGAAGCTTAATAATAAAATGTCTTTCCCTGGGAGCTGTAATGTAATTGTTGATGACATTTATGCTCTTATAAACCCTTTTTCCTCTTGTGTGTTTGTTTTTTTGCTTGTTTGTTGTTCTAGTTTGGGTTTGGCCAAAGAGGTTTGTAAAGGGCTACAATGTGTTACTGACATCGGTTAGTTATCACCTAGATTTGCTGTTCTAGGTTGATTTCTAAACTTGTGATCATTGATCACTCGCAGTGTACTTATCTTTGAGTTTATGCTATTTGTCTTTTGTCTTGGAAAAAAATAAATAAATAATAATAATAATAATAATAATTCCGACGGAATGGTTCCGTAACGGTACTGCAACATTTCCCAATAATAATAATAATAACAATAACACTAGACACCACAATATCATCTTATGTTAAAAGGATCCAAAAACCTCTCAGGCCTCATACAAAAAAATCAACTGATATTACACACTAACACGAGAACCAAATTAAGATCCCGGGACTCCGTAATGTTTTTTTCATTTTTTTTTTTTCAAAAAAAAACAAAGAAAAAAGAAAAAGGAAAAAATCAGCTGGACAACCTAAGATGCGCCCTCGGATAGTAGCAGCAGCACGCCATGCCAAAAAAGCCGTGGCTCACCTGGTCATCCAGCAGCAGCACACTCCTGAGCTCACTCTGCTTGTGCGCGGAGCTCGACCTGCAGAAGGACAGCTGCTTCCTCGTGGCCGCGCACCTCTCGACCACGTCCACGTCCCACAGCATCTTGTTGCGCGTCGTGCCCCTGTGGGGCAAGTCGTGGGTAATAGCATTCCTCCAAGGAGGGAGCCCCCCGCTGGGCCTCAGGAAGTTCCCCCACACGGACCTTAGCCGCACCTGCATCCCGTCTCTGTACGCCTCCCACGCCTGCTGCCCCCGAGCCTGGACAACGCTCTTTGCAGTCACCCCTGGGAGGAAGGGCTTGCCTGAGGCCGTCAGGTACGTGCCGTAGCAGCTCCGGAGGCAGATGCAGTAGTCCCTGTCGCCGCCGCCAGCTAATTCCACCGTCCAGATGGCGTTCTCGGCTGATGGGTCCCGCCCGAGGGTTACGGTCTTGCGGTCCTCCTCGGCCACCAGGTATTTGTCACCGTGACTAATCAAGTGGATCGTCTTTGCTCCTATGAAAAGATCCATTTATGTTTTTCTTTTTCTTTTTCTTTTTTGCTCTTTCGTGATTAAGAGGGAACGATTGATTTGCGGATGGTGATGCGCGACAAATGCAAATAAATCCTTTACTTGTAATGATTTGATATGCCTTGGAGGAACGTTGTCGGATTGGGAGATTTTGAATTAGCTCCTCGATTTTTTTTTTTTTTTTTTTTTNTAATGTTGAGCCCTGTAAGCCTAATGGATAGATGGAGAATGGAGAAATGAGGTTACGGGGCTAGATTACAAGAAGGCTTCACGGAAGCAAACTCGAGGTTCTGAATGGTGAAGGCTGATAAGATTTGTTGGAGAACAATTGTTTCATCTTGAGATATTTATCCAACTGTTTACTTATTACGTGTATATTTCGTGTTAGTTTTTCATTGTGCTGTTAATTGTATGTATTTTTTATTTGTGTTGATTTTAGCACACACATTTTGATTTTGTCTATGGTAATAGTTACTTAACATAGCAACAGACAATGCTAAAACTGAGGGACATCCTACATTCTCGCCAACACCTTCTAGACACGGTTAACTGTTAAAATTTTCGTGCATGGCAAGTGTAATAAATTCTGTATCATCGTACATGCAAATAATTGTTGATTGTGCAAAGAATCATGGCTGACTTAGAGATTATAGTTAAAACATTGAATTCAAACAAATGCTACAAGGGTGCTGTGTGTGCGTATTTGTGTGTGTGTGTTTTAATATCAACTTTTTAAATTCTAGTGTTGGGAAAAGAATTTTATAGTTCATGTTTTTAAATTCATTTGGAAAATGATTATAGTTTGTAGACCAAAAATTAACATATATCAAGTGTGGTACAATGGAATTCACTATACTTTTAAAAACATTAATTTTTAGTATTACTATTAGCTTTTCAAGGAAAAAACATAGTCCTCAACATAGATAAGACATACGAGTACAAATTGATAACTCATCTAACTCTCAATACAATGCATGAATGAGTACTTAATAAAAAATTAAGAAAAATGATAAAGGAGTACCTAACAGAAGCAATTCAAGAGCCACACAGTTATGATCCTTACTCATTTTGGGAAAATACCATCATAAACCTTATCATTCATCTTCATTGAACCACTGAGATGGGAAGAAACAAGAAGTCAAAAACTCACCATATTTTATTTTCTTAAAAAAAATCAATGGACCAAAAAGTACAGAATCAATACAAAATTGCATATACTTACTAGTGTCACCCACTCTTCAACACATGACCGATCATGACCCGAAATTCTTCGTTCCCATTATTATCTCGTTGTTCTTGCTCGATTTTCTTCGCAGACACTGCCAATGATTCTAAACAAGACTCCACCTCAATCGACGCCAGAATCATAATCTCGCCTATCTCGCCTGGAATCTCCCGCAGATTGTTGCAATCTCGAATGACCAACTGCTCAAGACTAGGAAAATGCTCACTCGTCTCCACAATCCATTCGCAAAAGTCCAATATCTCAAGTTTCAAGAACCGAAGCTGCTCAAATTCTCCGTCTCTCGTCTCCCATGTTTTTCCCACAAAAGCATAATACATCAACTTAAGAACCTCGAGATTCACCAATCCCCCAATCACAGACACCTTTTGCCAGGGCAAGCGAAGGCCGTCCAGCGTCAGCTTCTTTATATTCGAGGGGAAATTAATATCCGCATTCTTATAACCGCGCAAGGCCGTCATTTTGAGCGACTCAAGCCGAGTGAGAAATTCAAGGTCGGGATAACGAAGCTTTCCCTGCTCGTCTGTAAAGGGCTGACATCTGCATTTGAGTTTAATGAGATCGGGCGAACATCTCAGCACATTCTCTTCCTTTAGATTGCTTATGCTTACATTTGAGAGGTACTGGAGGTTGTTTGTCAAGGAGCTGACACAATTCTCGTCGAAAATAGCTAGTGGGGCTAGTTGGAGGTGCCTCAGCTTCATCATTTTCAGGATGGTCGGGTGTATATCCACTATCCTCGATGTCTTTACAATGAGATATTCAAGGTTCACGAGCTGGCTTATCGAGGGCGGTGTCTCGTTAGCGGACAAGTATCGCAAGTGAAGCAGGAATCTAACTGCTCCCTGATCACACTCGCTGTCTTGCAAATCCAAGGCCCTGAGTAATTTTACGCTGAGGAGGTTGGGTTTTGTCTTCAAATGTAGGCTGAAGAAAGAGCATACGTGTGGGATGAAAAAGGGTCTGAATATTTCAATCTGGGCTTTGGAAACATTGAAGCATAAGCGGTGATGTCTCTCGTATATCGAGCAGTTTCTGAAAAAAGAAAAGTAATAAAGGAAAAAAAATTGAAGTGAGTGTGTCAGCTTCTCTCAATGCATCAACGTAACTGTAATTAAAAGGGAGCCAAAACGTTGAATTCGTGAGCTTTTTAATTTTATAACGAAACGAATAAAGTTTTAGTGAGTGAACTTACTCATCCATTAACTTCAGGAGATTCTCTTCTCCAGCTTTTCTTAAGCACAGGTCATGCAACAGATCATGAATGACACAAGCTTTGCATCCACCATCATATCTTCTCTTTGCAACCATTACTAGGCTTTTACCAATTAGCTCAATCAAATATTCTTCGGCTACAACCTCTGCACTCTTATTCTCTCCTTCTTTCACATATCCTTCAGCAATCCATAGCATCGTCAACTTCTGAGCTGGAATTTCTGCGTCCTCAGGAAATGCCGCAAAGTAAAGAAAGCATGGTTTCAAATATCCAGGTAGATGCTTATAACTGAGTTCCAATATTTGCATCATCGAACTATCCCCACCGTCAAAAAAAGAACGAAGCCAAATTCGCATCCACATTTTCCCATATACTCTTTTCCCTTTCCAAAGTTGATAGAATACCCGCTATAACAACCACTGCAAGTGGTAGTCCACCGCAATTTGCTGCAATTTTCTTCCCAATTCCTCGCAAACTAGTAGGACAAGGCTCATCCTTGAACACTTTCTTCTTCAGCAGCTTCCAACATTGATCCTTCGACAAGGACGGAAACTCGTAGATTATGCAACTAGGTGGAGCCACGTCTTTGTTCCTAGTGGTGAACAATATTCGGCTTCCATTATAATCATCTGGAAAATATCTCAAAAAATTATCCCACACGTTTAACCTCCAAATGTCGTCCAGTACTATTAGGTACCTTCTTCCTATTAGACTTCTGTAGAGGTGGTCTGCCAATTCTTCTTCTTCCATATTCAAAATTGCATCTTTGTGGAGCTCGCTAATCGAACTGGTCAAAATATCAATCAGAAGATTTCTCCTCTCATACGTTTGGGAAACAACCGACCATGAGCGTTTGTCAAACCTATCATAATTAACCGAGGGATGATTGTATATCTTCCTTGCTAAAGTCGTCTTACCGAGCCCAGGCATTCCGTAGATTGATATAACTTGGAGCTGCTGGCCTTCCCCTATTAGCTTTCCCAAAACATTTGTCACATTATCATCAAAGCCAATTACAAGGTCACCAACTTCATTATTTCTCTTGGCTCGTGATGATAGAGGTGTATTCTCAGTCTTTGCAACTTTTAAGAATCCCTTTTGGTAACTCTCAACGATATCCTTGTCACAATCCCTTTCGATTTGTTGGAGCCTGCTTCCAATAAGCTTCATCTTGTCAACAACATGAGGGAGCCTGAGGGAGACGTACCAAAGAGGAATGTTCTTAGCCAAAAACGAATTGATTAGATATTTAGTTTCGTAAGCCACGTCTATAAGCTGCACCGCGGCTTCTCTCGGCTCCTCTGTTTCTGAATTCAAATATGTCCTTATGTACTCGTGGGCAGATAACGCAAACATAAGCTCGTGAAAAATTACTTTAATTTGGTCCTTTTGATCAATAATCTCACCACAATCACGGTTCAATAAATCCTCGAGAATGTAAAATAGAGAATCAACAATGGAAAGTGAATCAACAGCAGGACGGGCCTTTCGATGCATATCACCAGCATCCACAACAAAAGACGGAAGCATATTAGATATATTAGTTCTCAAAAGGTCCACACGTTGAAACAGAGAATCCATGGCCTTTACGATTCTCGTAGTCAAGGATTGAAACTGCTGATCAGTGGTGAAAACGAAGCAATAAACCAAACTACCGGCGAGGTTCCCCACGTCCACAAACTCCGTTAAGAGATTGTGAATATGCTCGAGCTCGACGTGCAAAAATGGCGTATCGCCTAAAATACTAACCAGGAATCTCAGCTCTCGCTTAAGATTGTCAACTTGACCATCGAACGGACGTATTCTGGGATGCTGCCATAATTTAAGCACGAAAATCATAAAATCCGCCACGAGCACGCTACTCCTTAGGGTTCCGTCGCCTTCGCGAGGCTGCCGGAGCTCCGGCACCTTCAGCAGTTCACGGAGGTTTTCCTGGATATACGAAAAACTTCCGAATCGCCAGGTCTGGGCGGGGCTAAGTGAAGCCGAGTGGAAGGAGGAGTTGATGCGCTCCAATATTAGGATGTAATCAAGAACATCTGTGAGGTGAGAAATCGTCCAGGGAATTTCGAAGTCGGCGTCTGCCCGGCGAGATTCCCAATTGAGCAATGCCCGACGAAGTTCCGGCAGGTTTATAGTTCCAGGGGAGGAAGAAGCTGCGTTTCCCATCGTTGTGTAAGAGGCATTGGGTGATCAAGGAATGAGGAAATGATTCGAGATATTTTTTGTGGATAGTACAATTATCATGATTTCATGAAGAAGCCAAATATGGTTGCTTTTGAAAAAGGTGTGGAAAAACCAAATAGTGACATGACAGGAAAAGAAACATGGAAAAGGCTACAGGCCAATTAGAGCATCTCCAATTGTCTTTCTATTGTTGCTACACGGCATAAAAAAATCTGATGTGGCCTGAAAAATGTTTAGAAGGCTTTCTAAATATAGAAGTCCTTTTAGACAACTTCTATTATATCTTATATTATTTATTCAATATATCTCTCTTCTTCAACCAATTACAATTTTACACATCACAAAGGACACCACAATTAACACTAATCGTTGAAGACAAAATTTTTTAATTCCCTTTCTCTATGTCATACATCACAATCTCCATTAGAGATGCTCTTAGGGGGCCACACTTTCGCTGTATCATTCCATTAGAGCATGTTATAGCTTTTAAAGACAATAATTTTTAACCCATATTAATCAATGATTGAAATGTTGATACTGTAGGAATAATGTTAAAAGACTAGAAATTTTGAATCAAACTAGTACCTTCAATGTATCAATTTGATAAGAATTTATTTGTATAGGTGGACGAATTAAAATAATTATTAATACAAGAACAATAAAAAACTAAATCAAATATAAAGTGAATTATTATTAGTTTTCATGTTTAACATTGTGTTAGATATTAAAAAGTGTGTTCAACATTGTCAACATTAAATGTTATTCACCTCATCATGAAAGAGCTAATGACAAAATGCATTGGAGAATAAATTACTAACACACTTTCAAAAGTTGATGATATGGATGAATTTTTATAATGTCAAAAGTCACATTGGAAATGTTCTTACCGCATACATAGGCACAACCACTGACATGGTAGATGGAACCCAATTCATTCCAAACATAAAAGTATTCGTTTACTATTTGACTATTGTCGAACTAAATCAAACCGTAGCAAAAATTATTTAATACAATTCTGGATATTCATAAAATATTTGTATCGAAAACCAAATCGAACGTTCCGAACAAAAATATAATTGTACAAAATGTGTATTACATTTTATCTTATGCATTTTTTTGTAGATAATTATATTATATCTTATGTTTTCATTTGTGCATAATTATTTTAACATTTATATAAATTCGAAAGTATAGATAAATAATATAGTTATGAAAATCTCATATTTAATAATTTATACTTCTTATTAAAAAATTTATATGTGTATAATATTTTACCTTATGCTTTCTTTCCTACGTAATACTTTTATATATGTATAAAATTTAGCAATATATGACAAGAACATAGTTAGAGTCTGCTTGTATATCGATTTACTCACTCAAAATCAAATAATCTCACAGCACAACTATATAAGGTGTTTGTTCACATGTAAATCCAGTTTTGGCCTTAAATTGGATTGGGTCCCACCACATGTGGCATTGAATAAAATATAATTTATACTCTACACAAATTTAACTAATTGCATACCTTCTGATATAACCATATACGTGGACTGCAAATATTCTAAGTATGCGGACCTTGACCGGAGTGGAGAATGAGCTGTCAGAAGTCAAGGATCACCAAGCTACGGCAGTTGGACAACCTCATCCTCAGATAATTTATAGGTTAACGACCTTAGGCTATGAAGACGACCTAAGAATCCCTATAAAATTGCCAGACGACCTGCGCAACCAAGGCCTACCAACAACTCGACCTCGACTACCGATAAGTACGACGGACATCCTATAAAGAGATTACGGAGGTGAGAAGGAATCTACCAAGGACCTACCAACAACTCGACCTCAAGGGAAAGAAAGAATCTTAAGGGGATAAGATGGAATCTAAAGGTGACTCAAAGGTGATTAAGATATGGATAAGCATTAAGTCCGGACAGTTGGGCAGAACATTTCGGGCAGGTAATTTCCTATAAAAGGGACTGAAGTATCAACGAATCCTAACTTTACATTCTCCATATATTATATACTGCTCAAAGATTACAGAGCAGTGCCATCTTCTTTCTTTTTGTTGACTTAAGTATCGGAGGCTCTTGCCGAAATCATCTCCGGCGTTGAGTTCTTGTAGGTCTAAATGTGGCGGTTCAGGTAGATCGGAGCTCGTCTCAACTAATTCTACCAAGATCCAAGTAGTGATCCATTTTTTGGCACCGTCTGTGGGAATATTTTGAAGAACTTAAGAGCTTCGCACCAGATTCCGATCACCTGAGATGGCTGAGAGAGAAGGAGGAGGAACTTAAGCGAGTAGTTTAGAGAGGCATGGACATACAGGAGACCTCCCGCGGTTCCCTGCCCCAAGCCTGCGATTTCTATGTTGGGGTTGCCATCATTTGGTGGTCACGTGCCATCGGGGGCGCGTTTGGAAGAGGGGATGTTAGTTTGCCCACCTGAAGCAAAGATCCAAGTGTTGGCTCAGGAAGGAACCAATCAATTACCACATCCAACCCTACATGAGCAGAGGTCTATGAAGGGAACTCGAGGTGCAGGAGGACATGTGAAAGTATTACAGAGACGTGAAGGAGAGACGTCTCAAGTGCAGTGACCTCGACCTGATGATCAGATTATTACCCTCACTCGGGTTAAGCTATAGAAAATGATTGCAGAGGCTGTAGCAGCTCGCTCTGAGCAAGCAGTTTGCCCCGAGCAAGTGCAACATACACATTCAATGAAGCAGCACAATAATAATCGAAGAGGAGAAGATTAGGAATCATCAGTCAAAACCACAACTCAACAAACAAAAGATGACACATTGGAGAAGTTTATGGCACAAGTCTACAACCTACAGGCAAAGGTCGAAGGGAAGAGGGGAGGTAGCTCTAGGGGTCATCTTTTCTCTTAGGAGATGTTGGACGCACACCTTCCCCAGGGCTTCAGAAAAGCCAACTTGTGGTATGATGAGCCCACTGACTCGTCGAGGCATCATAGGAGTTTTGAAAACATGGCAGTGTTGCATAGATATAACGATCCAGTGCGATGTAGAGCTTTTTCAGCCACTTTGCGAGGACCCACGCAAGATTTGTTTAATCAACTCTTACCAGGAGCTATACAGGATTTCGAGGGATTCAACTCAAGCTTCATTAATCAATTTGCAAGTTTCAAGGCGCATGAAAAGACTTACCTCACTTTGATTGGGATGTAGCAGACTGAGGGATTATATAGCTCGGTATACCAGGGCTTGCGTGCACGTTCCCTCGGCGTCGAAAGAGATCAAGTCGGGATGATTAACCGTATGATTGCGACCTGGATTGTGCAATAACTCTCTAGCCAAATTACCTGGCAGGACATTGACGAAGTGTTGGCAAGATGTGCAAAATACATGAATGTGGAAAAAGCAGAAGCCAACACGGGGAAAAAAGAGAACAAAATAGGCCATATAGGTGGGAGGGGCGACCTCTAAAGGGTGGCTCGAGGTACATCCAGTACACGCCCCTAGTCGCTTCTCAGGCTAGAATCTTGGATTTTATGAAAAATGAGGTACATAAGAGTATGTTAACATGACCAAAAACAAGAAAGGAAGGACCTACTCGACCTACGAGTAACCTATACTGCCAGTTACATAAAAATTATGGGCATACCACAGATGATTGTAGACACTTAAAGATGACATAGAACGTCTGATAAGGGAAGGACACTTAAAGGAGTTCATATATAAAGACATAAAGAAAGGCCCAGGACAACGTGAGGAGACCCGAATGTTGGAGTATACTGTAAAGCAAACTTTTATGTGAGCTTTTAGATTGTATTTATTCGATTTCCCATTTGACTGAAATAAATGTTTTCACATTGTTGCATTCTTTAGTATGCTAAATGTCCAATTATCTTATATTGTAGACAATGTGGTGTGTTAGTAGTCACACAGAAGATTACATTGTCGGTTCCTTATAAGATATAAATGGTATTCACAACTGAGATAGTTATGGACATGACTATCGGTTTAAGTTGTAGTATAAACTGGATATAGCTTATCTTGGCTATAGGTTTATACTAGTGCACTGCGTCGCATTGAAAGGATCACAGTTGAGACGTGTTCTTCTGTCCTGCCTGTTATGAAGAACCATGGTCTCGGTGACTCTACTAATTCTTAACTCTAATTGTGATACTTAGATATGTGGGATATTTGTTTGTTACTTTGATTTACCAGGGGTGAGAACCAAGTATTGGTTCAATATGCTCCGTATCTTGGGTAACAACACTGTCTGCATGATATCTATTTATTGGCATTAGGGAGCCGTGTCCTGGACATCCAGGTTGATGACGTCCCCTTAAGGAACTCATATAGATTATCGTATCAAACCCTGCAGGTGGATTTAATCCGTACGATAATAAGGTTGAGTGGTACTACTTAAGAAATAAAAGATATTAATTAATTAAAGCAGTCAAAAGCTTTAATAATTAATGGACGTGTGATATCTTAAACACGGGGAATTATATCGAGTCTAATAGAAACCCTGATTCATTTCGGGATAGGACGGAAATGCAATATTAGTTCTCTTGTGGAATGAATTAATATTTACGGGACAAATTGTGTTCTGGGCTGAACATAAGAATTTGGGAGAGATCCCTAGTCTGGCCCAAGGACCTCTATAAAAACAGGGATTGCACACGTTCTTGAACCCTAAGAGAACATCACGTCTTCAGCCACCACAACAACATGAGAGAAAATGTGAGGGGTTCAGAGAAGAACAAAATCAATCCGCTCTTTTCAACCGTTTGGTAGATCGTCGTCCATCCGGCGTCCAAACGTGGTCGGGATACAGACTAGAAGATCGCTCAGATCGAATCAAAGCCTCGAAGAAAGGTAAATTCTCTGTTCGTCCTTTAGGAGCATGCCTAGGGTTATTCGAAATCATGTATGTACATGTTTTGTATCCGATATCGATCCGTGGGAAGGAACGCCTCATCCGCGTGTTCCACCACCGAGATCACCCACTGACATGGTGGAACTCCCAACAAAAAGGGGAGTAATAGAAATGTTTTTTGGTGGACCAACCAATGGGGATTCCAATTGGGCAAGGAAGTCATAAGCTAGGGGTCACCGAGGGGAGATACAACAGGTTACGAAAGGAGGATCAATGTTGAATTTTGGACCAGCAGATGT